CAGAGCCAGACTTCATGCTGGACTTTACAGTGACACTTCAGGGGGTTCAAGGTGGAAAATGGTGGATTCTGTGTCCTTGGGGGGAAGGAAAAAGACTCAGCTGATCAGAGCCAGTGCTGGTGACAGCCCTGCATGATGGGTAAGACACTGCCAAGTCCTTCTGCCAACACGTCTCTGACAGTCTCCTCCCTGCACAATTCCCTTGGCCAGAGGGAAGAGATCCATCCAATTCATCTCTTCAATGGCTCTACTTCCCAGATCTCACCAGCTCACCTCAGCCACAGAGCTTCCACCAACCACTGCAGTGCCCAAATCCAAACCGCCAACACACTGAAAAAGCACAGTTTTGATGATTACGTTCTGTAGAACTGCGAGATCTCTAATTGAGGGTAAAATTCCATCCAGGGTGCATTTCAGCACTGAAAATAGCACAATAAATTAGCTCAGCTTTTTCCTGGTTGACTCAGCTAATCCTTCAGCCGCCGACAGACAGATTTGATTGTATCGTCTCTCCTTGGGCTCACTTAACGCCAAGGCCAAGTCGTGGCAGCTGCAGCAGATCTCTGCAGAGCTGCTGCCTGCAATATATAATCTGCCTTTATTTCTGGCTGCACCACGGCTCGGCAGCAGAGCTGAACAGAGGTCGCTCCCGCTCCTGGCTTGATTTATGAATATGGATTTTGTTGGTTAAGCCATTAGGAGCGGTGATGGAGCAATTCCGCCTACATCCTGCGTGCCTCATTTGGAGCCCGCTCCGCAGAACATTCCCCGTGTCTTCCCCCTGCAACGCTGTTCATGCAGGGAAGATTATATTAAGGCTTTGTCTGTAATGCTGTAATTCCACCTTGCCTCCCTGAGCCCTCTCCAGTGGGAAACAACCCAGCCGCAGGCAAGGAAGTGGTTGGGAAAAGAGATTGCAGGGGACTCGTGCCCAGCAGGAGAAGCTGATATCCCACCCTAGAGGCTTAAAGGAAAGTGTTAAATCTGCTGAGACCCCAGTAGGGACTCTGCTCTGGCTGTTTGTGGTGCTGCCCCAGCACCTCCATCCATCCCAGGGGACCTGGGGATGCCCCAGCTGGGGTAGCCGGAGTGGGGAGATCCATCTGGCTCTGCTCCGTGGGCAGCTGCCCTGGGAGCAGCACTTAAATCCCCCAGGGAAAAGCACGGGAGAGGAGTTACCATCACGGCTCACTGAGCGGCCGAGCATCGCTCCCCAGGGAAGCCCAAACCGGTTAGATCCCTCTCCCAAGGTCGTATTCCCTGTTCCCGGGTCAGCACGTCCCAGCCCCAATCCACAGAGCTTTGTACCAGCACGGGGTAAGAAACAGGCTGTGCCCAGGAGGCCTCGCTGTGCAATTAGAGAAAACAAAGAGGGAGAGGGGAATTGTACGTCCAACCCGGCAGGGGCCGGGGTACAGCTCCTGCTTCCTGGCTCCAAGCCGTGTTTTTCCCCAGCGCTGCCGTATCCACTTGTTTTGGAGAGGAAAAGGCTCCCCCTGAGCTGCCCCCATGTCAGACACCGTGTGGTACAGGGCCAATTTGGCACCTTCTCCCTAATGAACGAGCACCAGCCAAGATGTGGTCATGGATGAAACAAGCACGTTATCCATGCGGGAGCCTTTGGGAAGGGTCCCAAGCGAGGGCAGGTTTCCCTTTTACAGCAGGCAAGATGCTTTGAAAGGTTCCCAAGGAATATCCAAGACCCCTCTTTTCCACAGCGGCAGAAAATTAAATTTCCGCATTATTTATCCAGGCAACTCACAGAACTCCTAAATGGAGCAGATCCGTCACAGCCACCCAGCTCATCACTCAGCAGCCATTCCCTCCTCGTTTGTTTTTAATTAGCAGCAACACGCAGGGGCTGAGCCAGGCAGGTAACGGAGCTCGGCTGCTCCAGCCGGGATCACGGAACGTCAGGCAGCTGGTTGCAAATCACCCCACTAATAGGCTGGGAGCAGGGGTGGGATAAACACACTGGAGCTGGTAACAAGGTCACTGCCAAAAGGACACTTGCTCCGGGAGCTCAGGTGTTATGGAAATGAGGATTGAGGGACACAGGGTCAAACGGGAGTGTGGGAAGAGCTGAGACTGTGGGCACGGGGTGGGTGGGGAGTTGTGTCCCAGGTCGTGACTAATTTGTGTTCCTGCGGGTGAGGCAAGGTATGAGAAAGCCCCAGGGAGAAGCCAGCCACTGGGGAAAACGCTTCCAAGAGAGGTGAGACACAAAGGCTGAAAGGGAGAGAGGGAGGGGAGGGAATTTTGCGTTGTGCCCCAGGTACTGGAGCGACAGACCGAGACAAGATGATGGGAACTGATTTGCCTGGGACCGAGTGGGAAGGAGTGGGTGGTGTGACAGCCCAGGGGGTGAGCAGGAAAGATACTCCAGCTCGTGCTTCTCCCAGCCTGACCCCGGAGCAGCCCACATTCCCCACTGGGAGCCCCATCGGGAATGATTTTGCCCCCCCAGCTCCCTCCAGCAGGCACCCTGCCCATGCTGGGGGGACACTGGACACACCAACAGCCTGGACTGACAGACCAAGCGAGAGAGTGACCTGGGCTGACAGTGAGAGCCAGCACAGGGTGACAGGAGCAGGGAAACAGGGTCTCAAGTCCCATGAGTGCCCTCATATGTCCCATCCAGGGGATGCCTTAGGGATCTCAAGTCCTGTGGGTGCCCAATCCCGAGAACCTAAAGGTACCAGGGTGCAATGTCTCCGTGTGGATGAGTGTGGTCCCATGCATGTCTGTGTGGAACCCAATCCCATGTGGATCCTGGTCCCGTGTCCATGTCTGTGTGGATCCCAGTCCCATGAGTGTCCATGTCCATGAGGATACTGGTCCCACGCGTGTCCCTGTCCGTGTCCATGTGGATCCCAGCCCCACTCACGTCCCTGTCCGTGTCCATGTGGATCACGATCCCACACGTGTCCCTGTGGATCCCGATCCCACACGTGTCCCTGTGGATCCCGATCCCACACGTGTCCCTGTCCGTGTCCATGTGGATCCCGATCCCACACGTGTCCCTGTCCGTGTCCATGTGGATCCCGATCCCACGAGTGTCCGTGTCCGGTCTCCCGGCGCCCCCTGGCGGACACGGCGCGGCCCCGCAGCGCCCGCCGCGGCCCCGGGACCGTCGGTGTGACTCCAACGGGGGTGACACCCACGGGGGGCTCTGAAAGGACGATGCGACATTAAACTCCAGTCCCACGGGCAGAGCCACACGCGTGGGGAGCCGGGAGCGGAGCCCATCACCCACAGAGGTTAATGACGGCAGGAACGTGGCAGCGGGCAAAGCGAGGGGAGACGGCTCTAAGGAACCGCAAAAGGATCTCAGGAGTCTTTAATTAGCCGTTAATTAACCTTTTGCACTGTGAAAAGGAGGAAACAAAGCCCTGCTGGGAAGAGCACGCACCAACTTGCTCATTCTCCTCCAGGCGATGCGCTGGGATGATGCAGAGAGGGGAGGGCAGAACCCAGTGTGAACAGACCAACATTCCCCCATTTAGGTGCCTTCCAAAGGCTTGGAAACTGGGAAATGCCAGCCCTCGGTTCACTGAGCAAGATGGGTAAGGTTCCTCCCTCTTCCCCTGGTCCCCACATTCCACACAGGAACTTCCAGGCTCTGTCCCACTCCAACCCCTCCTGCACTAGGAGGAAAGGCAGGTGATGCTCCCCTCTCAAGCAGGGAAGGAGCTCGGAGTAAAACACATGGCTGAGAAGCAGAGAACAGTGAAAAACTCCAACCCTCCCAAGCAGAAGTGCCCAGCATTGATCCCTCACACCTCCCAGCTCCTTTGGAAGGAGAGGGAAGGTTCCAAGCCAGCATTTGGGAGGTGCATGTGGTTGGTATTCAGCAATGCTGCCACTCGAGAAACTCCATTTGTGCTCCTCCAAGGCCAAACATATGGTAGGAGTTACTGCACACTTTGTGGGTGTGTTTTACTCTTCCCTTGCTAAGGCTGGAATGATTGTGTGATCATACATATAACACAGCCTAAAGGAGTGGGGTCAGATGAGCCTGTAGCACCAGAAAATTAAGGCATGGGATTAGGGGAAGGCATTGGTGGTATAAAAATACATAAAAAAGGGGAAACGGAAGAGGCCAGACATTCACAGAGGCACTGGGGAGCTCTAACAGTGCACTCCAGCCTGGATTAACCACCAGCACTAAGGCAGAGCCATTTCCAGACTAGGAGTTCATGCCAAACTTCGGTAGTTTAGTCCTCCACAGCCAAGGTTTGCTCTCAGAAATAATCATCTGCCAAGTAACTTACCCGCAGAATGGGGCTGCAAAACTCAAAGCACAACATCCACTCCAGGAAAGGCAGGGCACGGGGAACTGGGGGCTCCAACTCACGTCCTGGCACAGGAGCATGAACGGCTCCATGGTGGCAGCTGAGCTCATGCCACAAGTTCTCCCATTTCAACATAATCCCTCACTTGGAAAAGTAGTTCAGAGCTGAAGTGGGTGTGAACTTGAAGTGTAAGAAATACAGACGACTCTTAAGTCTGATGCCACGAAGAAGGGGGCTGACACCATCCCTTGTGCTGGTTTTGTGCCAGCTGATCCCTTTCAGATCAAGTGGAAGGAAGAATGGAAAAAAGTAGTTCAGGATTACCTCATGCTGCCTTTAAGCAAGGGAAAGCTGTGGCTGGGAGGGCAGTGAGGGTTCAGGTCGTTAGTTCTGCCACCCCAGTCTCTGCTGCAGGAGGGGGTCGGGCACCACAGGCACCCCAGGGAAGATGCAGGAGGAAAGAACAGGAAACAGGGACAAAGGAAAAAGCAGGATTTCACAGCATGAGGTGTGTGTGGGACGTGCCTGACATTTTGAGGAAATCCTAACTGCTCACCAAGCACCAAAACGAGGGAAAATTAATTCCTATCACGCACTGGAAGACAGGCAGCTGCACGTCAGAAGGGTGGAACCCACCCAACACCTTCCTTTGGGACAAAACAAAAAACAAAACAAAACAAAACAAAAAAAGGAAGCAACCAGAAGTAAGTTCACAAAACATTGCTTTTTATTATTTGAAATTGGAAAAGGCTTCTCGGGTAACAATGATCAGGTGTAAAAGTAACACACACGTTTCGCTCAGTTTTCCAAAACCCAGGATGGAGTAGGCCAAGTGTTGGGTTTATACATCCCATTCCTCTCAAACCCACGAAGAAAAGGACAGGCAAAACCCCCTCCCTTGAACAGGGGAGCAGACTGGGCAGGTAAGGTGTTTAAACTACAAGTTACCATGTTCCACAAGGATATTTGTGGCATGAAACCAAGGTGCTGGATGTCAAATGGTATTTTGGAATGAAAATCTCACCTTTTTGCTCCCACTGCCCTCTGTACAAAGCAGGGATCTGGTGTTTCACCTTCATTTTTAATAAGTACCACGGGATACTTTATAGAGACTTATTTACACTCAAGGCCTACAGGAGATGCCCAGATTAATCCATCAGTGTCATGTTAAAGTGGTGAGTGCAAAATACACACGGAAACAGGGAAGGAGGAGTATCAATCAATGAAAAAAAAGTGCAGAATGCTTTAATTAAGCTAATAAACACAGTTGATCTGAGTGCTCTTTGCCTCAAAAATTAAAAAGACTGCAATCCAAACAAAAACCAGAATCATACATTTTAATTCAGCACGCAAAAACCCCAAAGGTCAGTGGCACTCACAGTTTGGTACCTTATCCTCCACTTCACATCTCAAATATTTCACTGTCCCACTGGTAAGTGATGCTGTCTGAGGGCAGCACAATCCTTTGGCAGCTGAACACAACGGAGGGTTATTGGCCACGTGAGCAACCAGCTACAAGAGAGAGTTAATCCATTATCATTCCCTAAACTAGCAAATTGAGATTAGACAATCCATTTCCACACAACACTCAACACTCCCATTAGGTTCCACTAGTTTTAAATTAATAAAAAGCAATAAAAAGTCATTTGTTTAAAAGTAAACACTGAGCCAGCTGCAGTTTGGGTTTTTCCTGGTAGCTGACACCTCCATGCACATTTGCACAGGAATTCCCTTTCTCCCCAGTGCACTTTTCCCAACAAACTGCCCTCTGACTACTGCTGTCCCATTCCAGACTCCTATGGCAGCATTGCTGTTCACTCCAGAATGAAGCTCACACCCAAACTTACAAATAATTCCACCTTTTCCTCCTCCTCAGTAAAAACCAGCCTGACAAATCCCCGTGCACTGCAGAGTCTCCTACAACCACAACGCCCGAGCACAGCACATTCACAGCTCTGAAATAAGGCCCAAGGCAAACAAACTGGCTGCATGAGGAGCTTTGATGCTCCTGCTTTCCAGCTGGCCAAATCCGTGTGTTTTGACAACACAGAGGGCAGGACTGAGGAGCACAAAACAGTCTGAGCACGTAAACCACTCACTTGTTCCTGAGCCAGAATTCAGGCCCAGGTCTTGCTGTGGCCATTGGGGCTCTTGCAGCCTCATTGCAAATGCTTTTGTTTAATGCAAAAGGCTTCTGCCAAGAGTATTCCTACCCCTGACAAGTTGTTTTCCATCTTCGCCAGCACTTTCCACCCATCTGGGATCAAGAAATCAAGCCAATTGTCCCCAAGATTTTCCACAGAGCCAACAGGACGAGGAGACGTCAGCACCAGGAATTTATCGCCATCTGCAAGGCCCCACCACACATTATCCCTGTCAACAGCTCACAGAAAGATCCCAACAAGCTGGAAAACTAGGGTTTGGGAAAGAAGCAGGGTATGCAGTGAAGACATGCTGTGCAGGGGGTGGTACAGCCTGTACTGAAGATGAACCAGCACAGCAAAAGCCTGTCCTGTCAGCACTGCTTCCCTTTAGGAAAAGCAGGATCAGGACACTGGTCACATCCCCCTCAGCCATGGGTGATCCTCAGATCCAAACTGCCTGCTCCTAAATCTGTCCCCACTCCCCTTGCTCGTTCCCCTTTCCCAAAGATTTCAGAGTTGTGAGTTTTAACTCCCCATCATGTTATCCTGCTTTGCTCTGAAAGCACTGATGCAGCCATGCACAGAGGAACAGGCACAGGAGCACCCCCAGCACTTCTGCCAGTCTCCAAATTCACCATCTTCACGGCTTTACTCACCCCCAGCCAAATCAGGGGGAATTTTGTTCTGAAATGCCACAAAAAACTGAAAAACCTGCCAGGCTTGGAGCAGCAGAAGGTGAGAAAAGGTGTCAGAGGAGGAATATTAATACCAAACTTGCTATTTCCTTTGCTCTAGACAGAACAAAGCCAGGGGGTCCCGGCGGTTTTGCCTTTAATCAGGCACATCCTGACATTTTGAGGCCAACCAGGTGAGTTATAAATAAAAAGATGCCACTACAGGGGCAAAGCTGAGCTGTGAAAAATTCCCACAAGGCATCAAGACTCCACAAAGCCCTTCTCTCCAGCCAGCCAAGCAGGTCTCGCCTTCAGGAGACCCTTGATACTGACACTGGAAAGGTTCAGAAGCGACAAGCTACGACCTGTGCCAACAGCCAACCAACAAGTCCTTGCCCAGGTGACAAAGCAGATCCAGACTCAGCACGGAGCAAAGCCCTCCTGACAACTGGTATCCATGGGTTTGCACTCCCCAGCAGCCTCCTGGGAAGCTGCAGGTAACAACTTTCATGACAGCGGTGGAAGGCACTTTACACACTCAGCCAAGCCATTGTAACAGGTTGCAAGGAGGAGGGAGGATACAGAGTCAGGTCAGTACTCAGGAGAGTGACTCAGGCCTCAGGCAAGTGCTTGCAGGGCATTCAATGCAGTCTGGACTTTAAAATCTCAATTTATAAAATTTTAATCTCAATTTTAAAATTTTTAATCTTAATTTAAAAACCGAATGCAAAAACTATCAAGTCAGTTGTGTAAAACTCTATCATCTTTATTTTTTGTGGGGACACTGAAGTGGGGAGGAATCTGCAATCAGAGCTATGGATCCAGCAGAAGAAAAGCTGTTTCTTGGGACAAACAAAGGAAACAACTTCCAAAGGGGACATCTCTCATCCCTTTAGGCTGTTAAAGAGAACACAAGGCAGCCAACACGCTGACTGCACCAGCCTAACAGCAAACTCCAAGATAAACTGGCCACCCAGTTACCAGAGTCCTAGTCATGGAATCATTCAGGTTGGAAAAGACCTCTGAGATCATCAAGTCCAACCATTAACCCAGCACTGAACATCTTTAGGTGTCCCAGAAACCTGCATCAAACCTGGAAACCTCTGTCTGCAACATCAGGCACATGTTCTGCACAGAGCTCAGCAGCTACAGCAAAAGGCTGAGATGCCTGATTTTAGCTCCAGGTCACTTCTCTGCCCACTCACCAAGGCACAGGAACTGCCACCTCCCTCTCTCCCAGCCCTGTGTGATCTGAACTGACTCTTCCTTCTGCTGATGCCCACAGGAACACCTCTGACAGGCTGCTCACAACCAACCTCCTTTTTACAGCTTATTCACCAGGACAGTAACAACACTTCAGCTCCTCACCTCTAACACTGAGGCAGCTTTTCCACTCCTGACAAAGCTGTAGGAAACAAAGAAAAAAGTGCCCTAAATCACCTTCAAATTCCCAGACGTTTGTAAAACTCTATCCAAAGAGACAGGAATTAATCCTGTGAGTGACATGACCTGCTGCTCAACGTCTCTGCTGGAGCCTGGGTTCTCACACAGCTTGAGGGAACACACGACAGCCAGAAATGGCAAAAAGCCCTTGTGAGAGTGAGAATAAAAGCTGCTCACAGGCAGTGGAACCAGGCAGGGACTGAACTCCCAGCACATGTACAGACACATTTACAAACCTAAACCTGCAGAAGATGTAAAGGCAGAGGTTTTTTTTAGACAATGATCTGGGTAGAAGAGAAGGAATCTGGACTTTGTCATCACAGCCAGAGGGAAACTGCAACAAAGGATCATGTTAATGCTGATGGTTTATAGCACAACTCAGAGTCTGTAGATGAGCACTGGCCAGGATTTCCTGTACAGAACAGTCTATAGGGAATCTACTTCCTTGCCTGCAGCCCACAATTCCCAGTGGAGCTCAGATCTGCCACAGAATGCAGGTATCATGGAAAGAAATCAAGCTCAAAAGCTTTCTGTGGAAGCAACAATCATCTAGGATGAGACAAGTACAACTAGAAAGGGAACAGAAGGGTGCTGTGAGTGGAGCAGCAGCACCCACCTGTCAGCACCCACTGCAAAAGGCGCCAGAAGGAGCCACAGCAACACAAGGAGAATCCCTAGTCGGTCCTTTGGACTGCAAAGGGCAACCTGATACAGGAATGACACCCAGCTGGGGTCACACCAGTGACAGTGACACGTGGCACCTTCTGCTGCCCATCACAGATCAGAGCCAGCAGGCTCCAGCTGCCCTTATCTCACAGTTGGTTTTCTTTTTGCTCCTTCCTTTACGTTTTCAGACCCACTTTTACAAGATCTGAGGTGAATCAGATACAAAGCAGTTGGAACACATCAGCTTTTGCAGTTTACACCCATTTCCAGTTCCACACCCAGCTCCTGTAAGAAAAAAGAACCATCTCCTCAGGGAGACACACAGACCTGGAGCCCCAGGGACAGCACATCCATCAAGCTCCAGAAGCCAGGATAATGCTACACACACTCATTTGCAGTGGGGATCCTCCCCTCGCTGCCAAGCTGAGGGTACTTCTCCAAAGGAAACCACACACTCCAATTCCCAAGCCAAGGATGAAGGTATCACACCACCCTCTCCTGGCAATGCTACACCCAGAGAAACGTTTCTCTGGAGAGGAGGACATGCTTTGTCACTGCCTGTCCCTCTCATCTGGCATTATTTTTGTCCCAATACATTCTTTTTTTTGCAGTAAGAAAGATCTTTTTCCTCCTCTGCAGGATCCCTTCAGCTCTACAAAGCTATGCCACAGACTGGGTAACAAGGACTGCTGGGAAGCAGCGTGGAGTGGCAGGGAGGAAAGGGCAGTCATGGATATTTTAACTGGGGTGTGTACATTTGGGGTAAAAAGGCTTTTTATTAAAAGTGCATGCTTTTATCCAGAGGTACTGAGAGCAAGGAATCCCCCCCCAGCTCTGGCTGGGGGAGCGCAGCAGCCTTTGCAACCCCGAGCCCTGTCCGTCACAAACCACCCGTCAGGTCGCCAGGGACTGAATGTTCTTGAGCATTTCATCAAAGGCCTCACGGGAAGGCGCTTCTGCGTTCTGGAAGGAGACCTTGATCCTGCTGTAGAGGCTGAAGGATTTCAGCTCCAGCCAGATGAACCCAAAGCGGTCGTCGTCGAAGAGCACGAACACCCCCGGCGTCCGCTCGGGGCTGGTGAAGCCGTGGCCGGCGATGAGCCCCGTCCCGTAAAAACTGCCAGGAGAGGAGAGCAAAAGAGGGGTGAGAAACAGCCAGGATCACCCAGTGTTTAGTAAAAAAACGAACAACGTGGAACAACATTAGTGACAGATGAAGTCACTGTCAAACACGCTGATGGGCGCCACAGAACAGCGAGTTTTACACTCGGTTTTTCCTCACATAAAACGCTGTGCAGACACAGAAACAACGGGGTTGGAAAAGACCTCTGAGATCATTGAGTCCAACCTATGACCTAACTAGACATGGCACTAAGTGCCACATCCAGTCTTTTCTTAAACACCTGTTGATGCCATTTTAAGACAAGAAACTCTCCACTGCTATTTGCAGGTTGCTGCTTTGGGTTATTCTAATTAGCACCTGCACATCCTAATTATTCTGTAGTTCAGCCCAGAAGCCCATCTGAGATTTACTTCTGCAACTCAAGGATCAACAGAGGCCCAGACAATCCTCACAGGAAATGAAAGGCATGTTGAGAGGGTGACCTGAGAGACAAACCTTGTGCAAAACTGAAGGGAAGGGACAGAAAAATCTAAAAAGCAGAAAAATCTACCATGATCTGAGGAGGAATAAAGGTCAGTCCCACCTCCGAGCAAGCAGCAGGTGGAGCAGGGTTTTATCCAAGCACAACTCAGTTGTGACAGCAGGAGCCTTCTGGGATTAACCAGCTATTGGTAGTTTTTTCCATGAGCACAGATGCGTGGCTGAATGTCACCTGCCTAAGCCTCAGCTTTTGGGCTCTTTTTCCACACTTCATTTAGTGTGATGCTTCACTGACTCCAGCTCCCATTCAACAAGGCTCTCTGCATGCCTGGATCTACTGTTTGGAGTGTTCAACACCTTCCAGGTCTGGCCCTAAGGCACCAGAGGCCAGGGAAGGGTGGGAGAGAGCACTGTGTTCCCAGAGCCAAGGAACACAAATGACACACACAGGAACGGGAAGCAGCTTGAACAGAGTTCTAAATATATGAGCTGGGCAGCTCTGGGAAACAAAACACCAAAAAAAAAGGAGGTGTGTGGAACACAGGAGAGGTGCTGGCTTCAGAAGTAAGCAGGATAAGATCTAGCAAGGAAGTGGGATGGCAGATGGCAGTGTGGTGAAAAAGGGAGCAAACGAGAGTGTGGGAGATTGGGTGGCAGAGGCAGAACCCAGAGAGGTGGTGAACTCCCAGAGAGGTGGTGAACTCCCCATCCCTGGAAGTGTTCAAGGCCAGGCTGGATGGGGCTTGGAGCAACCTGGTCTAGGGGAAAATGTCTCTGCCCACGGCAGGGGGTAAAGCAAGATGCGCTTTGAGGTCCCTTCCCACCTAAACCATTCTGGGATTCTGTGAAATCTGATCCCAAGGGACTGGGAATCTGCAGGCAGATAAATGGCACACAAATACAGGACACACCTCAAAGACTCCCCCTTCCCTTTCAAAAAGTGATTGGCACAACTGGCACCAGCAGTCCCCATTACCAAATTCGGCAGGTCCGGGGATAGTCCTCATTCCTCGAAATGACTCCCATGGGCAGCACGAAGGGCTGGGAAGCTGGTGCCTTGTCCGGGGTCATTCCCTCTGCACCAGCTGCAGTCTCTTCCCCCTCGGCACCTTCTCCTCCCAGGGGACTGGCAGCAGGCTGGGAGGCAGCCTGCTGGGAACGCTCCTCTTCCTCCTGCCGCTGCTCCTGCTCCTGCTCCTCCCGCCGCACCTGCTCCTGCACCTCCAGGACGATGCGGGACAGCTCGCTGAAGTCACGCAGGTTCTCGATGTCGGGCAGCTGCAGAGGGTGTGCCAGGTCGATCTCCACAGTCTGCTGTCCAGCTGGGATGTTGGGATCTCCCTAGAGACAGGAAGCAACAGCACAGCTGCAGAGGCAGGGAGCTACAGAGTTCAGAGCTGTGTCCTCCCCACGTCATCACCTGACTTCGACAGAGTTCACCCGATTCTACAGTCAACGAGTTGGCAACAAAAAAGGGCCACTTGGACCTTGTGGTCCCCTGAGCTGTCAATTGTCATCTCTGCTTCCCCCTCTCCCAGAAACAGTTTTAAATCAAAAGCTACAAGCCAGGCTGTACTTGCAAGGGTGAAAGAAAGTCAAAGCTGTGGCTGCATTTTGCCAGAATCCTCCTTGCAGAGGAAGGAGCTCACTTGCCTGACTTCAGTGGAGAGCTGCCAACATTTGGTACCTGCTCCTCAGACACACGCAAGGGATCTCCGGTGACTTGCTACCAGCTGCTCACAGAAAGCAGCTGGAAGGGAGAGGAAGGGAAGGGGAAGCTAGGTGGAATCAGAAGAAACCTTGCAGATGAGGTTCTAGTTACTCTGCATGCGCTGAGATTCACCCAATGCCACCAACCCCCCCAGGGAACAGGGTTTAGGGTGGCAACAACTGACTATCTCTGACACAGAGATCCCTCCTATTCATCCATGGCATTGAGAATACTTTAACAAGCACTTGAGAGAAAGGGAAATGCACTCACAGTGATTTTAGTCCCCTTGGCTTTCTTCCCATGAAAGCTCAGCATGACGATCTCCAGCCCGTGGCTCCCGTAGGTGCCTTTGAAGAGCCCTGGCCTGATGAGGTCGTCGGGGCTGCTGGGGGGGAGGTAGATGCGGCGGTAGGTCAAGCAGTTGCTGTGCAAAACAAAAACATTAGAGAGAGGTTAAGGGAGAATCCCTTACCATGAGGAATGTGTTGGCATTCTGCTCCTCCAGCAGCTTTAGGATGTCGCCAAGAGAGGTGGGATCTGTCTTTTCAGCAATACCAACAAGCTTAGTGGATTTTGCTTTACACCTCTGCAAGCACTTCCTCTCTCCCTCCCTTCACTTCTCTCCCAGTCCTACTTAGCACACCAGGAAATTCCTACAGCAAGGTCACAGTAAACTTCCTCACTCCCTGGAATTTTCAGAAAACCTAAGAGTGAAGCATATTTAAACATATGTTACAGTGAGGTGGCTGTACTCTGAACTATTCTGAGGTATTAGAAGCTTGGAGTGATGGTTAAAACACCCCAGTTTCTCAGGGACTGTATAATTTCTGCACTACAAAGGATATTGCTGACTAATATGGTAATAAGCAGACACTCCTTGGGACCAGAGGCATTTGCCCTGTCTTCCAATTAAACACAGTTAAATGACTCAAAAGCACCTTACTGTGCATATTTGTTGTACAGAACTTGGAACCTTGTTCTTACTGCTGTAATTACACCTCTGGAAAGCACTGTGTATCCCTGCATGGAGCCTGCAGAGAGAGAGCATTCCTCTGGCTGTGAGAGCCCAAGGAAAACCCTTATCTTCAGGACAAATGCTCCAATGTGCTTGTGAAATTGCAGCAGCCTCAATACCAAGAGCTGGAGCTCTTACTCATATTGGCTGGTGTAGATGAACTTCATCAAGATGAGCTCTTGCATGTGTTCATGGAAGATGTCTTCCAGAGTCCGACCCCACTCTTCCCGTAGCCACGTCCGGAATTCCTGCAGCACAAGGAGGAAAGGAGCAAGATGAGGACCTTTCAGTGATGTCCCCCAACATGACTTCACCCTGTCAGCATGTTTCACTGGCAGAGCCACAGACGGCATATGCTCTGCCAAAGACAGAGGATCAGGCTGGATTTGGGAACAAGCACGTGTTGCTACAGAGCTGGCCTGGAAATAGGCTTAACAAATAGTGATAATGGTAACTATCAGTCACCACACAATAAACATGCCCCCCTTCAAATAAATCACAGGTAGAACCAATACACCTCCTCAGAATAAAACCACAAACATCACCTGTTACTGCAAAGTAGCTCATCTACTACTTCTTTACGTCCTGACGTATCTTGCACTAACTCATTTGTGTGCCCATCATCTGACTCCTGTGCCCTGTCCTGATGTGAAACATAAAACAGGAAGCTTTTGAAAGGCACTGAAGGTTTAGGAGGTTAAATCCTGCTGACTTAATACTGATGCATCTAAATCCAAAGAGTGCTTTGAAACCATCTCCTGAAGTACCTCAGCTCCAGCTCTGACAAGTTAATACCCCGCAATGAGTTAGTGTGATAACAGCTTACACTGAGATAGCAGCCTACCAAGTGATATTCCAAACCTTCCTGCTTTATCTCCCAAAGCCAGACCCTCCAATTACCATAATGCCACGCACACTTAACGCAGCGCTTTGGAAGTATTAAAGCATTTCTCATCTGCTACAGCACCAGAAAACACCTCACTAACCCTTTCACCCAGCTGTTTCCCATTAGCAGACAGGCATTTTACAGCATTCCTGAAGTATCAGATCTGTCACGTGGAGCCAGCTGGCAGCAAACACCAGTACCTGGAACAGGTATTTATCCTGACATTGATACCTGCACCTTAACACAGGCACTTGAGTCAGGAATCTGCTTTGCTGGGTAGAGCTGACAGACACAGGATAAACAACCAAATGAAGCCTTTAATCCCTCGAGCAAGACAAGCAGTGGGAAGGTGCCTCTCTGACCAGCAGGTATTCAAATGCAGCTGGTACTCACTCCTAGGCCTTTGAAAGATCTTAATTACTCAGACAGCAATACCACAGAGATCAGTGCCTGGAGTGTTGTGTGATGTACAATATGTGCTGCTGTCTCTCTTTGGACAGGTCTGCTACCAAACAGGAATGGTGTCACAGCAGGGGAAGGAGGAGGGTGCTGGGGCTCAAAGGGTACCTTGGCACAGAGAACTGCCTGAAACAGTAATTCAGCCAAAAGCCCCCAGCCTGGGTTTTCATGTATGTCCAAACACACAGAAGTCAGAAGGCAGGAGACCACCTCCCACCCTGACATCAGCTAAGAGCTTATGTTGAGAAAGGGGACACACAAACAGCCTCAGTGCAGACTCCTGGCAGAGCACTCTTACCTCCTGCCTTCCCCCTGACATCCGATGGTGATCCGTCTGGTTGCATTTCGTGGAGAACTCGTCCTTCTTTACAATCTGTAGTTACCATGGAGGAGAATTTAACAGGTTACAGACCTGTCCAGAGATACCTCAGATGAGGTAACTAAGACTGTTTACAGTAAATGCTTTACACAACAAATGTTACTGAATCTGATACAACAAAGAAATCATTAAGTGGTACCGAGAGCAGGAGCTGCAGAATAGAGAAATTAAAAAGAAATAAACCCTCAAAGCATTCTAATAAAAGATAATAGTTTTAAGCTGCTTCTCTATTTCAACTTCCTTTTTTAAAATAAAACAAGCAACCTCTCAGGAAGCTCTTCAAAGCATCCCACATGCTGACTGGATGCTGCATCATCTTCTCAAGGTTTCACCTTGGAGAGAGCTGTAAAACAGGTCTGTGTGTCTGCCTGGACACATTCACCAGCTGCCCAAGGCCATTTTACATATCCCTTCCCCCAGCCTGTGCACATCCTGGTGTTCCCACAGTGTCCCAGCCCAAGAGAAGACAGTACAACAGCCTCACTGTACTACTGCCAGAGAACAAATTCAGAGCAGGGAACAGCCCACACAACTTGTCAGACACATAATGAGTGTAAAACTGGCATCCACACACACAACAAGGTGGTGAAATCCACATCTCTGAAATCAAATTCTACCATTTTTTTGATGAATCCATATCCAGAGCCAAAGGGCACACACACTGCCCCCAGGACAGGTGATGCTGGCAGTGCCAGAGGAGCTCACCTGGATGTGGCCGTTATGAGGTCCCTTGTGACCATACATACACTCCACTGTTGCACATTTCCTCTCCATGAGGTGAATCCTGAAGAGAGGTTTGAATCTCATGGGATCATCAACATGAGGGTCGTGAGGTGGCAAGTACATCCATCCAATAATGAACAAACCATCTACCTGTAGAGGTAAAGGACACAAAGCCCACGAGATCAGCCTTGCACGATTTCTCAGGAGTTTGCAGCAAACTCTGGAGGCTGTTCTGGCCCAGGTCAGGAGCTGCAAAACAGCTGCTGCATTTCCAAATGGCTTTCCAGCAATTAAACCAGACCATATGCACTCACAGCACACCCTGGGTGTGGGTTTCTTTACAAGCCTTCCTGCACCACTGGAAAATGATCAGGACTTTATTGCTGCAAACGACTTTGTGAGGGATGCCTGGAGCGCAGGATCCAGAGAGAGAGACCACACAGCAAGTCAAGCTCTAATTGGTTTGAGAGCTCATGCTGGCAGATATTCCAACAGATGAACTCTGCTTCCCGTGATTATCCCTTTTGGACAAGGAATTATTTGGCTCTATTCCTCACAGGCAGCACAGGAAGCAACGCTCTCCTCTGCCGAGAGGCACAAGTGCCAGCCCCTTTCCTGCACTAACAGAACCCTGCCCCTCAGGCCCTGCAATTCCAGAGGCAGGATATTTTCTAAATAGAGAAATCTGAGACCAGAGCAGCGCCACAGAGGCACTTGTCTTTATAAGGTCACAGTATCATGTAAGTATTGATGCGCTTGGATGCACTTTTATACCAGTTCATGGAACAGAATCTTGCAAAACCCAAAGGCCTTGTGATTTGTTCCACTTCAACCTGGCAGTTATTGAACCCTGGTGCAAAGAACAAGGGCTTCAGGCAAACTCCTGGCTCAGCTCTCCCCAGTCAAATGTTGTTCATTAACTGCTCTCCCCAGCACCACCAGAGCTGCCAGATTCCACAGGTCTTGCACCAGTATCACTCTACATCTGATGCACAAGTCTTAGACATGGCTGGTAAAGTGTGGGAACTACAGGAAGGAGAGGTGTAAGAACACAACTGCAAAGCCCTTTGCAAAATGTTCAGCTACAGGCAAAGATAATGCCCTAAGTGATGGGCCACTGCTAAAACCTCTGCTGAACCTGTGCCAGCCAGTGGAATATCAGCACTAAACTCTAAATCGAGTCTTTCCCTTGAATATTGATCATGTTTTCTATGTGCTCCTGGGGCTGTTTGAGGTAGAGCTGAAAAATAAAAGGACTTTCTGGAGAAAGGTGGTGATGGCAAAAAGAATCCCAGAATCATTTAGGTTGGAAAATACCTCAGAGATCATTGGGTTCTGTGACCAATCCCCACCTTGTCACCCAGCCCAAAGCACTGAGTGCCACGTCCAGCAATTCTTTGAACACCTGCAAGGATGGGGACTCCAGCACCTCCCTGGGCAGCCCCTTTCAATGTTTAACAACCCTTTCTGTGAAGAAATTCCTCCTGATGTCCAACGTAAAAGAAACCAAGAATGAACCCAGAACCTCTGGGTCCCAATCACTTGCTTGAGGGCTGATTGTTCAGACTTTCAGTGGTATGAAAAGGGCCACCAGGCCTGGAAAGCATAAAAAAAGGCTCCTCAATCCTCAAAACCACAGCCCCTGGATAAGGTACTCACTCACCACCACGTTCAGCAGTCCCCCGTAGGGCCCAATGTCCGGCTGCCACAGTCCCAGGATGTGCCGGTACCGGTGCAGCACTAGGGAACAGGGAGACACCCAAGGGAGCACATCAAGCTAAGGAATTGGGATTTTGGGAATGAAAATCAGACTGCACATAGCACCGACCAGTACCACTCACAACTGCCTTTACTAAGGAAAACTGGTTGTGTCCAACCCCAGCCAGGCAGTTCTGGAACTGAGGCCTCCCACAAGCTCACACACCTTTATGTTGTTCTCTGCTCCTGGGCCTGTGGAGGGGCAGAACCACCTACTTCGCCAGGAATTCCCAGAAAACTTATGCAACATGGTCCCATTAATGCAAATCACACGATATACCCAGAGCTAAAACCAAATCAAAATATCTGCTGTCTCCAGTTGCCAAAAATGCACTCGATGCTTCAGACTGCAAAGCAACAGAAAATAAGGAAGGGCAGGAAGGCAGGAAGGAACAGGGAAATTTGAATGTTTTGAAAGCATTTCCCTGCCTTGTGTAGACAAACTTGTCTCCAGAGTTTAAGCATCCTTAAAACAGCCACTGAGAGCACGGGCAAAGCGCAGGGACCACGGCAGCTCAGGAGATCCTGTGGTGTGACCAGGTCAGCCACGGCCTGAGAAATTCTACATAAGCAGCTACATCTCAGCAATGCCCAAAGCTGCTTCCAACCCCCCTCAAAGCCTACAGCAGCAGGGGAGGCTCTTCTGTTTCTCATTCCGGAGCCAGGTGTCCCTTCAATCTCACCTAAATGAAGGACAAGTAGGAATGTTTTCAGCAAGCAGGAGAAAATGGCTGTTACAGAATGATCTTAAACCTCCTCTCGTGAAGAAATCTTAACCTGCCTCCAGTCCTTACCCAGTCAGCCATTCCTTTTGTCCATATAATTCCCTGACATGACCAGTAACCTTCACGTGAAGACACCACACAGTCTGGCATTTTGGGCAGGAACAGCAGGATGCAGATTATTTCTCTAAAGATGGCAAGAAGATACTGCATTTGCCTTACAGTGGTGTTCATGGCCAATTCAGAAGGCCACAATAACCCATTCTGGCCTCCAGGACTGGCTTGAAAAATGGTGTTTGCTTTGCATCCATTTAAAGGAAGAATTGTGTGTCAGTGCAGCTGTTCCACCAGCTTTGTTTCATTAACTAGTTCAGACAGCAAGAACTAAGGAGTATTTTTATTCCACCAAAGCAGAGAACTTCCACGGAAGTTTAGGACAGCGGGGAGTGATATCCAGAGATGCTGCCAACTGGCCTGGAGGAGCCTTTTTCCTGTGCAGTAAACAATTTCAGACTGATGGCCTGGTTTCACCCAGGGAACCAAGTGCAGCACAAACAGCACCAAGGCAAGCAGGCAAACCACATTCCCGGCTCAGGAATTACACATTAATAAATGGTTTGTGCATGAGCTGCTCCACCCACCACAGTCTGCCTTCTACCCTGTCTGGCACTGAGCTGATAAAAAACAGCTTTCTTAATTTATTCTTATTTTTAGGACAGAAAACTAAGCTGCCCAAGAGGGATGAGGATGTCCCTCCCACCTCAGCTCCTGCTGGAAGCAATTTCAGGAAACACGGCTGAGTCCCAGACACAGCCTCCTTCACCATCCGCCCCGACCACCCTGAAACCTGGAGCTGCAAAGGAGGGAGGAGGCCAAATAAACCCCATTCACTTCCAGAAGTTACGGAGGAAAATGCTGGTACTTAGCCAAGGGCCCAAACTAGTCTCAAAGCAAAAAGCATGGCCCCATTTTCAAGCCTGGGGTGTCTCTGGGCCCCAATGAGCCAGCAGCTGTATCCTTTGCAGGGAAAAGCTGATGAATTCCAGCTCTGGCTCTTCCTAGCAGGACACAGGATGGATTGACAGTTGTTTCCCTTCCTGCTCCTCGAAAGAAAATAGCACTTGGGTCTTCCTCCAAGGTTTTCCTCTGCTGTGCACGCTGCCTGTGCTAAATCCTGAAGAAGTTTCTTGCCTATCCAAATTTCTGAGTCCACATCCCGCCAAATTGAGCAAACCCACATCCACTGGATGTTTCAGTACAGCCTTCATCCAGCCTGGATATTATCCACGTTCTACAAGCAGCCCTGCATGCTCTTCAGACGGGAAAGTGGCTTGAATCCAGCTGGGAATGGGCTTGGAAAAGCAGGGAATGGGGAGGGTCCTGAACAGGAAAAACCTGATCTACTGCAACTCTCCCAGACTCCCAGGATGCAGCAAGGTATCTATAAGTAAAATGAGCTGGAACAATGTAAGCAGTTGCTGTGCCCAGGTTGGTGATAACTGACCTGCTCATGGAAAGAGCTCAGTGTCAGCCAGGTGGCTTTAAATCCCTGGGGAAAGCGATCTGAGCTCACCTGCTGGCATGAATAGGAATTAGGGAATGCTTCCATGGTAAATCCTGGCAGGAGGGGAAAAAGGGGGAAATGGGCAATCCCATCTTAAACCAGATGGACTCAGAACCAATAGAATCATTTAGGTTGGAAAAGACCTCTATGATCACCAAGTGCAACCATTCAAGCTTTCCCCAAGTAACACAAAACATCCCTAGAGAAAAGGGGCATGAGATATCAGAAGTTTGGGGTAGCTCAAGAATTTACAACTGAGGGAACAGCACTAAATGTCATTTGACATCATAAACAGCACATTTGGAGCAAATATCCAATCTCCAAAGGAATCCATCTTGCAGCTTGGATGTGTCTCTCCTTCCCATCGAGCTCTGGAACACAGCTGGTGTTGACAGGCAGGACTGCCAAACGTAAAACTCTGTACCAGTTCCTGCTCTAGTGCTGCTGTTTGTCTGTCCTGACTCACATTAAAGTCTCCATCTCCCTGCACAGCCCATGCTCAGCTGCTTTCTTCAGCACAGGAAACTCTGCAGCATCCACTCCACACATTAATATGTGTGAAAACCTACATTCCAAGCACCAGTGAATTAGTAACTGGAGTCTGCAAAACTCTGCAGACCCAA